TAAACGTATCTTTATATATTATTAATAAAATTTATTTATTATTTATATGCAGATATCAGTTATACTTTATTTTTAAATCTTGTGGTAGTTATTTCTTATATACTGTTTGACTCTTTCAGCCATCCAATCTGAAGAAATAGCTTGAAGCTCTGATAATACTTCTAATATTACAGTTTCAGGTAGTTTTTCTTCAAATTCAAATAATTGGTCAAGTATAGCTTTTTCTGCATTTGTAGTAGTATGATGTATTTTTTTTGGATGGCTAGTATCAGAAAGTAATACCTGTTACAAAGATGACGAAGTATACTGTTAAATAATTAATAGATAAGTAGGTTTGTCTACTTTACTATTTTTTTGTTTCTTCAACAGTTACCTGAGATTCAGTTTTGTATACATCCTGCATAAGAATTTATTGAAAGCATAATTTGCCAGACTCATAAAAAGAAAGAATATTTTTAATACCTTTTTCATTAATTTCTGATATATTTTTAAACAAATGATGCATTGTAGGATTTGAATTATCAAAGACAGATAATAACTTTTCGATTAAGAACCAGAGTGAATCTTTCTGTGACTTAATCGCATGAGCATTCTACTTACTATAATATCATCAGTGTATTCTGCAAGAAGCATTGATAAATGATCTTTCTCACTCTAAGTTGCCTTAATTTTTGATATTATGGTTGGCTGGTCAGTAAGATTTCTGATAATATTTTGTTTTATAAACTTTACGCTATATGTTTCAAGTATTTTATCAAAAGCTAAATAATGTTCTTTATTTATAAGATTTACTAAAGTTCTAGACAAGTCGAGTTAACTTACAAGTTAGATAAGCTAAGTCGAGTTTGAATCAAGTTGAGTTTTTATTTTTTTGACTCGATGATTTGCAAGTCAAATCAAATTTGAGTCAAGTTAAATATTTAACTCGACTCAATTTAAACTTGACTTAAACTCGACTTGACTGAGTTGGCTTGAAATAGTATTATTAATAAATTAATGTTTTAAAACTATAAAAATTATACATTATAATAATTGAAATACTTTATAATAGTTAAAATATATTAATAATTAATAATTGAAATTTATTTTATTAATTTAAATTATAAATTTTAAATTTCGTTAGAAATGCATATAGTTAATTAATTTTTTTATCAATAAGATAATTAAATATTAAAACAGTATAGTTTAGACCTTTATTTTAATGATTTTTTATTGATAAAATATATAAAAAAATAAAAATTATTAT